GGGGGGGGAACTAATGGAAGAGAAGCAATGGAGCCCAAAGTATACAATACTGTGGAAAACTGCCAAATAGTACTCAGGAATGTATGTATTTCATATTTCCATATTTCATGTCCATCATCCATCCATCCATATATAATTCCTATCTACCGTGTGTGCAAACCCAGCAGCAGATTTCGAGTCCCTACCCTTCCTTCCAATTTCATAAACAAGCCATACATAGAATCTCGTGCTTTCGCTCCTGGGGGATATCACAGAACGCCTGGAAATATCATCATCAACCTGCTGTAAAGGAATTGACATGTGTCGGAGGAGAGAGGAAAGGGGAAACTGCTTCGGCAATGCTAATTATGTCGTAAAGGAAGAAAGAAAACCGAGATGGAATGGGAAGATTCCTCATGCTATGCTATGTGATGACAGCGCTTATGATGCAGCAAGCAGGAGGAAACTTGGCGTGGAATTTCGCGAGTACCCGGCGTCAGCTACTCGTAGATTAAATACTCAGTGAGAGTAAATTAAGACATCCATCTATGTGATGGAATTCAAGAAGGGGCTGTAGAGAAGTTCTTCAGCGCTTGGTCGTTTGGACTGTTCGACCTCGAAAGTCTGCGACAAGAAGGTCTTTGCTTCAGGCGTGGCTTGCTCTGGGATCGTAGGACTACTCTTAGCACCGCCAAGCTTGAAGATGGCTTGAAGTTGGGAACAATCCGGGAAAGGGTGATCGCCCGTCATCATCTCAACGACCAGACAGCCAAGTGACCAGATGTCGGCCTTGCGGGTGTATGAAGTCTGCTTGACAACCTCAGGTGCCATCCAGAAAACCGAGCCCTGGAGTGAAGGTCGATTCCTGTTGTTTTTCGCCCCACTGAGGATATTGGAGGCCTCCATCTTCTTGGAAATACCGAAGTCAGAAATTTTGATACCGCCCTTGTTGTCGACTAGGATGTTGGCTCCTTTGATATCTCGATGAATGATCTCACGGGCATGAAGGTATGCAAGACCGGTGACGATTTGGCGTACAAAGGTTCGAATGAGAGGTTCTCGAAGAGCACCGTAAGAATTGAGCATAGTTTGGACGGAACCTCCTGGAACATATTCGAGGAAAATGTTGAGGTGTTCTGATGTCGAACTGCACCCAAGGTATTGCACGATATTTGGGTGCTGGAGGTCCCGGAGAAGACCGATCTCACGCTTCAGGGCCTCAATCATGCTCTTCTTCCTTGTGTCATTTTGGCCATTAGAGCCGGGCGATGGGGTTTCAACTTGCTTCACAGCAAGAAGCTCTCCAGTCACAGCATGCAGAGCCAAGTAAACGCTGCCGAACGAACCCTGACCAATGAGGGCACCCTTCATCCACTTGCTATCATCCCAAGAATCACCGGCTAAGAAACTCTGTAGCTCTTCATCAGCATCTTCTCCGTCCTCATTCAGTGCTTGACTGATGTCCCTCAGTGATCCGCTAGCTTCTGTGCTACCATCCTCGAAGTAACTATGGACGGCGTTACCATCAGGATCTGAGACGTTGATGTTGGTTCTTTCAAACCCACTATCAAAGGAAACGTAGGATTTCCGGTCCGGTTCTATTGGCGACTCCTCCTGAACACGTTCTAGCAATGAGGAGGCTACAGAATCTCGGTAACGATTGCCACTACCCCTTGCCACTTCCAAAGGTCTGACTTTCGACAGCTGGTTAGATCCATTAAGCCAGGTATCCGCAATTGATGGCATGGGAGGAGCGTCTGCCAGGCTCGAAGCATAACTGAAATTGCTTGCGACGCTTAGTCGGCTGTTGACTTTGCTAAGGCGTGTTGACCTTCGTAACGAGAGTCTTGCAGTGCGGTCGATCTCCTCACGGGGGTGGTCCGGGAAGTATGTCGTCAAATCCGAAGTGATCAGCTCACTGGGAGGTCTTTGTCCGAAGAATTGACGCAGAACACCCTTCTTTGCAGGCTTTCGCCTGGTATCCTTTGATTGATCTGCAGAAGATCCTCTCTCGAGATCTTTAGCGGCATTATGCACATTGCGTTCTCGCTCGGTGGCCGATACAGTAGATCCACCAGACTGGAATGAGGCGGGTGATAATGGGTGCTGCAAGCCATCCTCCCAACTCTCGCCAAGAACCCTCTGAACTTTGAGCAAACTTCTCTTATTATCAGCACTTTCAAGTGCGCGATTGTGACTGGCGGCAGCCTCCTCCATGGCAATAGCAGCAGCACGTTGTAACTCGGCCTCACCTGGCTCACCCCTGTCGATCTTCCGGAGGATCAGCCGATTTCTCTCCGGTCTCTTCGGGTCTTGTATGATGCGCCACAACTCGGATTCGGGTAACTTCCTACAACTCTCCGGGTCTGGATCGAGGCCGGCCAAGACATAAAAGCAGTAATCTCGATCCCGGTCTTCACGGTATCCGAACTTCCTCAACGTTAACCTCATAACCTCGTCACTTGAAGTGCACTCTGCTATCCTCACGACCTTGGTCAATCCCCCGGATGAGATGACCCTGATCATGTCCTTATTGTGTGGTAGTTGGGCCATAAGTGAACCATCAATGCTCGAAGCACCCCGTTGGTGGCTGTTGATCACGCGTGCTGTATCCGGAGTGCCAGGCTGCCTACCCGTTACTGTCGCGGCACTCGGGGGGTTGCTTGACCCATTGAAATAACCCTGAGCTTGCTCTCGTCGAGCCACTTCTGCCGGACTCATTACTCCATATCTTGGTTGCCTCACTGCTCGAACTTCTGATCCTGGGAGTGGGGAGCTGGGCCTCGAAGAATGCTTGTTGGCGTTCTCTGAGGCCGCGGATCCGGGAGGATAGCTTTCGAACTGCCTTGAGTATCTCTTGTTGGCGGAGGGGTTGGATAAACCTCTACCTCCCGACTGAACAGGTCGCGGAGAGCTACCGGAGGTAGAGGTGTGTGCATAATTACCCAGACCAGCAAAAGAGTCCTACATGCATTAGTATGCGTAGTGGAAGGTGGGGTCGTAACACTCACTCTATTCCTCTTCTTTTGGTTGGCATATGCTTTCGTCCTCAGCTTCTTGATACCTAAGAACAAACGGACCCGATCTCCAATCTTGTCAATGCCCATTTCTTGCAATACGGCCTTGTCCATCTCAAGAAGGTTCTCCCCATTGATATTGTTCTTCTTAAAAATCTTCTCGTAGTCCCCACAATTTATGCTTCGCAGCCAGTCGCAGACTTGGTCCTCATTCCAATTCTTGGCCGATTCGGGCCCCTCGACATCTGAAAATTCCGAGTCTGTAGGAGAGGCAAACAGTTGATTCGAGGTCACCAAGGCCGGTGTTCTCCTACTCGACTGAAGGGTTGACGATGATTGAGCGGACGAAGCGGAGATGTTCGAAGAGGTGGACCCGAGCGGCGTCGGGAACGACGTCTTTGAAGCCAGCATTGCCATGATATGAGTGTTTAATTGTACATGGGCGTCTGCGAAAAGTGATGGCCGGTTCTCTCACAATCTAGAGAGATATTAAGTAGTTTGGGATATGCTCAAGAAGCGACGGCGTGGTATGTGCTGCAGACGTTTTCGGAGAGATTTGTTTAAAATGAGGGCTTGTCGTCGAGATGGACTGTCAGCGCGTTGAGATAGGTGGCGCGGAGGTGTGGAGGAAGGGAAGGGACAGGTTTCGGATAGCCGTTGTTTCGAGAGCGGGAGAGAGGCTCTGGAGCCTGGATGCTGGATGCTGCAAGGCGAAGCAAGCGAGAATGACAAACAACGAGACGGTAGGCGCAAAGGACCAGAAATAGCCGCTGCCCTGGCGAAGGCTGCAGAGAACGAGCGATGCAATTCCAGCGTGCGACAAGATGAGTGAGGGGGAATAAAGAAGAAGGGTTCTGGGGAGGCTGATGCTGACAGGATGCTCTTGAGGGCCCTTGTCGGAGTGGAGGTGACGGACGGGACTGAGCGGTGTCGTGTACCACATAAAGGAGCACCTCGAGGGCGGCAGGGGAGCGATTGGGTTGAGTTGAGATGATGGGAGTTGAGGGTCTGAGGGTGGTGTTGAAGGATACGGATCTGGAGTCTGAGGGAGTAGCCGCTTGCAGTAAGGCGCCGCAGAGAGCCTCCTCTGAAACGGAGCCACGGAGCAGAGGGCACGAGCCTGGCGTCCGCCGCGCATGGCGATTGGTCCGTGATCGGCCGTGGCGCCAGGGGCTGACGGGCGCAGTGTTTGAGCTCCTGCGTGCGCGGGGGTTTTACGGAGTATAATCGATTTACCGCGTATTTGGCGCGTCGTTATTCCTGCTTCTCGTATTAATTCCTCCGTCCAGACACGTCCGGTACTTGTATGGCCATCCTGTCATTCAAGACTCGAGAGTTCCAATCCAAAAGACTGCCAGATCTGATCATCATACAGATCACCTGCAGACATACCAAGACCCTCGTCATCATCATCATCATCATACTGTCTTGCTTGTACTCCACTTACCTATTCAAGGAACCTGATACACGCGGTCTCACATGCTCCCGAGAGTGGGAAGGGGGATGCAGCTGGGATGCGCCTAGGGCTCACCGTCCTGTACGGAGTTTACTATATGCAAAATATACTTGCGAAGTTACGGTATAGACTTATCTATACCCTGTAGGTAATCTGTACATCTCTCCGCCGGCCAAACCAGGAAAATCATGTGACAAACAAAGAACATCAGCCAATCAGGAGCAGCGAATAAACAAAAAGTCAAGGACATCAGACTTCAGTGCAAGAAAAAGAAGACAACAAGCCTATTTCGTCTCTGCGCGTTCCGAATGTATCTCTTCGTCTCTCAGTTCGATTCAACAGACCTGTAGATGTACCTATATATCACGGAAAGTACAGATGCCGAAAAGAAAAAAAAAAAAGAAATGGACGCTGTGGGAATTGAACCCACGACCTTTCATAGTCACGTTCTGTAGAACATGCGAAACGAAAATCATACCCCTAGACCAAGCGCCCTAGATAAGCACATTCTTTTGTTTGAAGCCGCGTTATTGCTTTACTAATGCCTCGGACATATCATATGCGGTGTGAGGTTGTCCAGTGGAGCATGCGGCTCCGTGGCTTAGGTAATCAACCGGACAAACTATTGATCCCCGAGCCAGCCTTGGGACATCGACGCAGCCTCGAGTTCAACGCAATCGACCCCAGGAGTGTGAGGCACCTGAGAATGAGGTGACTCCGATGACCTTATCATCTTGACGGATGGCTCTCGACCCGTCAAGCGGCTATATTGCCGCTCGAGATCTTCAGGATTTCAATGAGAGCTCACTTCCAATCTTCAACGTTGAACCAGTCCAGCTCCAGTTCTCAATCGCGTCCGACTTCGTTGCCGCCCAGGTCGCAAACAACGTCTTGGTCCTCGCACTTGCTAATGGAAGAATCATACGGATAGACTTGGACAATCCTGCGGATATAGATGGTATGAATGTTAAATGGTTCTGGGGGTAATATCTGTTCAGACACTGACCGCGCCCCAGACATTGACCTACCTAAGAAGACTTCAGAAGTTGGCGTCATCCGCCGCATGTTCCTCGACCCGACGGCCTCCCATCTGATTATCTGTACGGCTCTCGGCGAGAACTATTACCTTCACACGCAATCGCGACAGCCCAGACCGCTCTCCAGACTTCGAGGAGTCGCTATAGAGTGCATAGCCTGGAACCCCTCGTTGCCCACATCATCGACCCGAGAGATACTCATAGGAGCGTCGGACGGAAATGTCTACGAGGGGTATATCGAGACGTCTACGGAGTTTTATCGAAAGGAGGACAAGTATCTGAAGACTCTACTGAAGGTTCCAGATGCCCCTGTAACTGGTCTCTGGGTCGACCCAATCACCAGCAAACCCGGTGCCGATGTTAGAAGGGTCATAATAGCCACGCAGAGCAGACTGCTACATTTCATTGGTAAGATTGGGCGGGTTGGACACGATGGCGGGAGCTCAATCTATACACGGCTTTTTGAGACGGAGCAGCCGACTGTTCATGAGATCTCGAGGGTCGCATCAACACCATCGGCACTGGTCGTCTCCCCAGACACCACCAGCTCTACGCATACTGAAGACCTTGAACCTGACCGCAGCTTTGCGTGGCTTCAGTCTCAGGGGGTATACTATGGCAGGCTACTCACTTCACCAGCAACGCCTGAATTAGGCACTAAGCTCTTTGCGGAAGCAAAGTTCCTGCCTAGGTCTCAACTACCAGCCTCGGAGTCATCAGGCGGCCGCAAGAAAGCCATTCAAAGCCCAATAGATTCTATTGCCCTCACCCAGTGGCATATTTTACACCTTGTCGAAGGGCGCGTCATTGCCGTGAACCGCCTGGACGACAGGGTGATATTCGATCAGGCGGTTCTTGATCCTGGCCAACAGGCTCTGGGGCTTTTTGCCGACCAACAGAAGAATACATTCTGGCTATTTACCACCCAAGAAATCTACGAGATTGTTGTCACTGACGAGGATCGGGACGTTTGGAAAGTGATGTTGCAGACAGAGCATTTTGATGCGGCTCTTCGATATGCCAAAAGTCCGGCTCAGAAGGATGCTGTTGCCACAGCGTCGGGCGATTATCTTATCAGTAAAGGATCCTACCTTGAGGCTGCAGGAGTCTATGGAAAGAGCACCAAGCCGTTCGAGCAAGTTGCATTGACATTTGTCGATAATGATCAACCGGATGCCCTTCGAAAGTATCTTTTGACGAAGATCACGACGTACAAGAAGTCATCCACCATGCAACGTGTTATGATTGCGAGTTGGCTTGTGGAAATTTTCATGTCTAAACTCAATTCTCTGGACGATACTATTGTCACCAAGGCTGAACTGTCGGAAACTCTCAACCCGGCACAGACTAGGGACCAACTAGATACTATACGCACAGAGTTCCAAGATTTCGTGAAGAAGTATAAGTCGGATCTGGATCGGAAAACGACTTATGATATTATCAGCAGTCACGGTAGAGAAGACGAACTACTCTTCTTCGCCAGTGCTGTGAATGACTACAACTATGTACTGTCCTATTGGATTCAGAGAGAGCGTTGGAAGGAAGCTCTGGATGTGCTAAAGAAGCAAACGGAACCCGAGATATTCTACCGTTACAGCAGCGGACTCATCACACACGTTGCCACTGATCTTGTCGATATTCTCATGAGACATTCTGACTTGGAACCGCGGAACTTGATTCCGGCTCTGCTGGGCTACGACCGGAATTTTCAAGGCCCACTTTCGCAAAATCAAGCAGTCCGATACCTTCTTCACGTCATAAACCACTTGCAGTCGACTGATGCAGCCGTTCACAACACTCTTATCTCCATCTACGCATCCCATCCGTCCAAAGACGAAACAGCTCTTCTCAACTATCTCGAATCTCAAGGCGACGAACCAAGTTTCGACTCCGATTTCGCCCTCCGTTTATGTATACAGCATCACCGCGTCCAATCATGTGTACATATCTACAGCACCATGGGCCAATATCTCCAAGCTGTCGAGCTAGCCCTTGCGCACTCAGAAATCGACCTTGCATCTATCATTGCAGATCGACCCGTCTCCAATCCGGCGTTGCAGAAGAAGCTCTGGCTCGCGATAGCGAAAAAGGTCATATCCCAATCGAACGGTATCAAAACTGCAATTGAGTTCCTAAAACGGTGTGATCTCTTGAAAATTGAGGATCTAATTCCCTTCTTTCCTGATTTTGTTGTCATTGATGACTTCAAGGAAGAGATATGCGCGGCATTGGAAGACTATAGCCGAAACATTGATGCGTTGAAGAAAGAGATGGATGAATCCTCACAAACGGCAACGAATATCAAGGTTGATATCGCCGCACTGGATCACCGCTACGCGATTGTTGAGCCGGGAGAGAAATGCTATGTCTGCAACTTGCCGCTCCTGAGCAGGCAGTTCTTCGTCTTCCCATGTCAACATTCTTTCCATAGTGACTGTCTGGGAAAGAAGGTCATGGAGCAGGTGGGAATAGGGAAAGGGAAGAAGATCAGGGAGTTGCAGATGTCGATAAGCAAGGGGATGGTAGCGGGTGCGAAGAGAGACGCGGCGATAGCGGAGTTGGATGCTTTGGTTGCTTCTGCTTGGTGAGCAACTCCAGTTCTGTTCCTCCGATCTATTATGACTGACACACAAACAGCATTCTCTGCAGTGAATTTGCGATTAAGCGGATCGATGAGCCGTTTGTCCTTCCGACGGATGACAAGGATGAATGGGCTCTATAGTATATAACATATCATGTAACACTAAACACCATATCGTATTCTTTCAACGACGATTTTCTAATGAAGGTCTGATCCCGTTTCACGTGACCTTGATCACGTGCACGTAACACAAGGATGCTTTCAAAATATACTCTGTAGGTCTTGAATTATATTTGAGGATAACTATCAAATATCTTTGTGTGATTACATCTCGAGGGAAATACCTACCTAGGGTACTGTCCGCGCTCACCGTGACGCGTGTAACTATCCTCACGGCTCATGAGGCCTCGTCTCCTCTAAATCCACGACGCTCGTCGCGGCCAGCCATGAATACAGTACATGATGCATCTCACCTTCACTCCCCACTCCGCACTCCACATTCTCCATCAGCCTCGGACCGTGCCTCGCCATAGCAATAATAACCAAAGCAGCGGAGCACGACTCGAAGCGCCCTCAGATCGACGTGGGAGCCGCGCAGGCGATGCCGACGGTGCTGACGACGCCAGCGAGAAACCGACAAATGCTTTCTGGCGATTGCCGAGCGCTGATGATGAGTGCGTAACCGTATGCAGCGTGCCCCTGCGATCCTACTAAAGGTCCTAGACTCCTGGGAACTTTTGCGCATGGCGAGAGGCGAATTGAACCAATCGCCACTCCGCTCAACTCATTGCACTGCATGCCCAGTCGCCATTGTCGCAATCAGACGAAAAGAGGTTCGCAGCGTGTACTGACTGTATCATATTGGGGGGACGACCGCGTTTGAGGATCGGCTGCGCTCGTGGAGCCAACGCTTTGCACGTCTCGAGTGAGTCTCGCGGACCTGAGCCTCAAACACAAACAAAAACAAACCCCCCAAGGACTGCTACTTACTGCGAGTGGGGATGTGGTTTGATGAGACTGGAATATTCCGTTGATAGTAGTGCCTCGGTGCTGTACGGAGTACGCGGTCACAGACTACTACGAGTCTACTCCTGTACAGAGCAAGCCATCCATCATCATCCACCTGCTCGTCCACCGAATAATAGCCCATTGGACCACGGGATGAGGGGACCTCGGGAGGGCACTGCGGGCAGAGATGGCGACTGGCGCCCTCCCTTCCTTTTGGCTTCCTGGCGCCTTGGGGCCGCGTCACTTTGCGGACCCCAAGAACTAGGAATCGAGGACCCGGGACCCAGGGCGCGATGATCTATCAGGTACAAGAGCCCCTGTTCCAGCCAACTACGGGCCTGAAGGGTCCGATGGTACTGACGTTACTGATCTTGCTATACGCTTTGGTGCTAAGTGCCAAGACATACAAGACCCCCAAGATCTCCTCCCCGTACGTCTGGTCATAATCGCATATTTTGTTGTTTCGCTCTTTTTCACATAGCCGCACGCCACTACCACAAAGATAAGGAAGCCGTTCGGGCCCTTGTTTTGTTGGTGTTCATCCTTTGTCTTCATAGAGTCTTTTTGTCACCTATCTCGAAATCTCTATCGTTGATTATTATATCTATTATTTGCTCTTTATTATCTATTGTCTCTTGCGGCCTTCAGCCTTGTCGCTACGCCACATTTCCCCCCGTCCGTATCTATTCGCAGCCTTACCCCCCTCAACTATCGCCAGCCTGCCCCCTTACATACCGCGCAGCAAAGTTGCTTCTAAAAGTTTCTTTCGAACTTGACTTTAAAAGAATTATTGCTGTTTCTCACGCCACTTCAATCCGCCACCAAAATTATCTCTGCTCGGATTCTTAGTTGCCGCTTGGCCCCACCCGTTCGCTCGATATCCGCGTCATCTGCCCGGATCACTGGGAGAGATATATTTAAGGAGTTCGCACTGTTCGAGACCCCAGTGGGTATCGACAGCCTGACTTTATATTGATCATGAAGGGTTTATCAACGTTTGCTTTCGCGGCAGCTTTGCTCTCGACACAATCAGAGGCCATCAACTTATACAAGCGGACGGATGGACCACCGCAGGTTGTAGGCTTTCCAGTCCAACGAAGGGAGGTTCCGGATCCATTATCAAGGGATCGGCTGCGGCGGAGAACGGAAACTGTGCAGGCGACATTAGACAATGAGGTCAGTTCAAGAGCGGTATGGGGATGTCTTCCAAATGCTGAGATCTGATAGCAAACGTTATACTTTGTCAATGCAACCCTCGGCACCCCAGCACAGAAACTACGCCTGCATTTAGATACGGGCAGTAGTGATCTTTGGGTTAATACCCCCTCCTCGGCGATATGCAGGTCCAAGGGCAATCCATGTTCACTGTCCGGCACCTACACGGCGAATTCCTCGTCGACATATTCATATATCGCGAGCAACTTCAATATTTCATACGTCGATGGGTCGGGCGCGTCCGGAGACTATGTATCTGATACCTTTACCATTGGGAGCACAAAACTGTCACGGCTACAATTCGGGATCGGATATAACAGTTCATCATCACAAGGGATCTTGGGAATTGGCTACCAAGTCAATGAGGTTCAAGTTGGCAGGGCCGGAGGGAAACCATACAACAATCTACCAGCACAACTGGTCGCTAATAAACAGATACGTTCGAATGCCTACAGTTTGTGGCTGAACGATCTTGATGCGAGCACCGGAAGGCTTCTATTCGGCGGTGTTGATACGAGTCGATACCATGGCTCATTGGAGACACTTCCTATCCAGAAGTCGGGGAACACATTTAGGGAATTCCTCATCACTCTGACCGACGTGTCACTGGGCTCCATTGACATTGCTAGTGACCAGGCCCTCGCCGTCCTCCTGGATTCCGGGAGCTCCCTCACCTACCTGCCGGATCCCATGACAGAAGCCATCTACCAACTGGTACAGGCGCAATACGACACTGCAGCAGGCGCAGCGTACGTCCCATGCTCTCTCGCATACAACTCCACCACCCTCGATTTCACCTTCTCCTCGCCCACCATCTCCGTTCCTATGAACGAGCTCGTGATCCCAGTCACATCAAGCTCCGGAAGGCCGGCCACCTTCGCGGACGGGACGGAAGCCTGCCTCTTCGGCATATCGCCTGCCGGGTCCAGCACATCAGTGCTCGGCGACACGTTCATGAGATCAGCATATCTGGTGTATGATCTCAGCAATAACGAGATTTCCATCGCGCAGACGAACTTTAACGCCACCAGCTCCCATATTTTGGAAATCGGCACAGGCACCGCGTCTGTTCCAGACGCATCGCCGGTTCCCAACGCGGTCAGCGCATCGGCCGGGCTAGGAAGCGCGCAGACCGGCGCCGCGGCGACAACGACCTCTACATCTACCTCGAAAGGAGGCGCGCAGCGGACGCCACCGCCGATGAAATTGGGTGCGATGGCCGTTGGGGCGGGCGTGCTGTACGCGGCGATGTAATAATGTACATAGTAGTAAGGGTAGAAGAAGAATTGGAAACTGGGACCTGGGACGTGACCCACGATGAGATATTGTATGACGACTGGATTTAGACCGGGCTTCTTCTTATTGGGCGTGCGAGATGGGCGGCGATGGAGTTCTGGACGGGTATCTATGGAAGGTCCCGGGACCTGGAGCGGTTTTGGCGTTGAAGTGGGTTGAAAAAGAGTTGACTTACCTACTTACGGAGTAAACATCATCATCAATATCATCCTCATCATCATCAACTATGTGTCTTTGAATACGAGATCACATTTGAAGAGGCAAAAAAAAAAAAAAAAAAAAAAAAAAAAAAAAAAAAAAAA